TTCTCCATCTGCCGCTTTGCAGTCATACAAAATTCAGCCGGGGCTGCTGTCTATGTTTACGTCTCTGTAGAAGGGAGATGTGGGGAACAACAGTTAGCTAATGATTTGAAGAAGCAGCTGGAGGGATGTGAAATTTGAAATGATCCTGAGCAGCTCAGTGAACCTGCGTTTGCCCTGTGACGAATCAATGACTTTCTTAACAAGGGATCACAGAAAAAGTTTTGATCTTTTATTTGGCAGTTTTTGGAAGCTAGCTAGTTGATGCTACATAAATAATATGCCATAAATGTTTGAATTTCCTTTAAATAATTTGTGAGTTTAGTGAATGTGTGAGTCAACTGAAAATCCCATCTCTCACACAGATGTCCACAGAAGTGTCGGTATTTTAGGACTTGAACGGCTGGTTAATGATGTTTTCAGTATGTGAGTACAAAACCCCAGCAGACATCTTCCTTGAGAAATTGAACCAGAAATAATGGGACCTTAATTAGCAGTATTCAGTCGGTTGAAGGGATGCTGGAGTATTCTTGTAACCAGTGTTCCTCGTTAGTCGCTACCTTCTCACATGTCGACAGAGGAGCCTTCCTTCAAACTGGTTGCTGCGTCTTGCTTTTAGCCTGCTGTTCATCTCTATATGCACCGGCGGAGTCCAGGCATTCTCAGGGTCCTCGTCATATGACCAACCTAGCCCCACCTCAGGAGGTAGAGCGGGTCGTTTCCTAACCAGAGGATTAGCGGTTCGATTCCCGGCTTGTCCAGTCAACATGTCGAGGGGTCCTTGAGCAAGACACTAAACCACCAGTTGCTCCTGGTGATGTCACCGGTGTGTGAATGCGTGAGTGCTTGGGAGTGCGAATGGGTGAATGGCCGAATAATGTGTGAAAGCGCTTTGAGTGTGCTGTAAAAGCATAGAAAGGCGCTATACAAGTATAAGATCATTTACCATTACTGACCTTAGAAACAGCAGTTGAGATAACAGTCCTACTTCATGGTCCACCCATTCACTGTTCTGGAGCTCTCTAGCAGTACTACAGTACTAGTAGTAGAGTGTCAGTAGGACCAGACCTTTAATGCCACTGTTTTGGAAAAACTTCCTTCAACTGCAGTGAAAACATGAACCTCTAAGAACTTTTGAATCTTGTTTTTGTGTTGTGATGAGTTACATGCAGCCTGGAGAGCATCTGCTTCGTACAGAGGTTTATGAAAATTAAACAGATGTACAGATGATGTTTGATCTCGGGCCAAACAAATTCAGAAGTTCAGTTTCCCTTACCGAGGGCAGTCCATCTAAAACTGTGATACCAGTGCAGCCTTTGACAGTTAAACTGAGCAGAACCTCAGGAGAAATGAGAAAATGTAGAAAAATGAGTCAGACATCTTCCAATAAAGTGACAGCATGTGATTAAAACAAGCTGGGCTACAGCTCTGGATCCTGTAATTCTCTCTGTACATTTTACAGCTGAACTCTCAGTAGGTTTGACTGTCCAGTGTTCAGTGGTTTGGATCAGGATCCGTCCTGTACTGTTCTGAGGTCTGCGTGTTTCAGTAGTCTTAGAAGCAGACGGTGTCTGTGTTGAAAAGCACGCTATCCGACCCAGCTCAGAAGCAAGTCAGAGCGCGGCGCTCCACCCCCATCCCAGTTGTCACCACATTCTGATTGACAAATCAAACTTGAACAACAGGAAGTGTCTCAACCAAAGGAGGAGCCCCGCCATCTTTAAAAAAGAGAGGAGAAGAAGAAGACAGTAATGCATTACAAAGGGAAGTCAGCTGTTTGCTCTGTTACCTGTCTGCAGTTGATGTCAGTTCCAGTTGTGCAAAAGACATTCTGCAAGAGCAGTGCTGTCCCTGTTCAGTGGAAACAGAGACAGGTACTGGGGCCTGACGGGCCGGAAGCCGGCAGCCTGAGTATGGGGCGACTCCTGGTGGCAGAACAAAGACGGCAAGGTGAACATACTCCTGTTATCTGATGAGTTTGACATGGGAAGGAGCACAGACTGCTCACGTACCACCTCCACCTTTCTTAACCTCTCCTAAGCTGAGGCATCCTTCATGGACATTCCTACATGGCTCTGGTTGTAGAACTGCCCAAGTGTCCTACTCATGTCTGGTAGTAATGATCCTGTGTCTGAGGCTTGGGATGCTGCTGGTCTCTGTGTACAGGCAGACCCCAGCCTCAGCCCTCCCCCTCCTGGAGCATGCGCTGACCACAACGTGAGCCACGCTGAGCTCTTTATTCTTTACTCTGTTCAATTAACAGACACTTCTGGCATTGGTAAAAGGGTGTTAGTAGAAATGTGTGATTTCTCCCTGCACACTGTTGTTAACAAGCTGTTGTCTTCACACTCAGTTACTGCTGCTTCAGCAGCTAAACTGTGCAGACCGCTTCACGCCAATCAGCTGTCGATGGCAGCACATTGCAGATTATTCAAGTTTTTAAAGTCTTTTTGAGAACAGTTAAAATTAGGATTTATAAGAAGAGAGGTGGCAGTGAACTTGAGACGAGCTGTGTCACGATCACAGAAACTTTTTGATTAAACATAGAGGAATAAGTTAGTCCTCCTACATTTAGGTCGTGACATAACTACAGTGTCCTTTGGTTTCTGTGGTGGTATCTCTGACCAAAACATTTGAACTCAACGTTTTTCACATAAAAAATTCACACATGCTTTAGATAGATGCAGTTTGCTGACTTTTCAACTGTTCATACTGGTACATTTGATGTAATGTATGAAATCGTGAACATAATGTTGCACATAATTCACACGTGCTGCTTGTTCCATGTGATTTATTTGGCAACATTCATATATTTCACCGGAATTATCGCTTACAATAGTAGAAATGCACAAAAAAAAAAACAACAAACAGAAAACCAACCTTTTACTATCTGATTCAAAGTCACCTTCACTTAATCTTTAATCACATTGTTCTGGGGTTTAATCAGATTGTAAAGTTCTTATTTTTTAAAACAACTTTGAATTTTTGTTCAATATAAAAATCACTGACTTGCCATGATTTGTGGAGCTAATGTAGTTATACTGTGAAGTACTTTACATGCTGCTGATAAGTAACGGATTAAGGGGTTTGAGGTCAGTTTTTAACCTGATTGTTACCAGCATGTATATCTGACCTAAACTTTGGCTGTTCAGAAGCGTCTTTACTGGAATCACAAGGCTAGGATGTCGGTAAACTTTCCTGGTATGTTGGCTGAATCTTACAGCCTGACTGTTCTGCAAACTGCCCCGGTCGTCGCTCTTCATATCAGTAGAGTGGTGCAGATTGTTCCAGCAGAGGCTGAGGGAAGGTCCTGCTCAGTCAGACCGGTTTGCACCAGTGTGTTGTGTGAAATTTTCTCTGTGCTGACAGAAGCATTGAGTCGCCTGAGTTTATTTCTGTTGGTGGGAGACTCTCTGGCTGTTGATCATAGTTGTAGTTGAGGCGTAGGCGGCAGCTCCACAGTATGCGGATGTGTTGTTGCACGGTGCCCGGGGATGCTTCACTCGGCGGTTGCTAAGCAACGGCTCTGCTCCGAGCCGAGCTGCCTGTCACAGCTCAGCGCCTACAGTCAGTCAGACGCAGGACGATCCTGTTCAGATGCAGATTATCGGCTGTTTGAAGCAGCTTCAGAAACTTCTTTCTGAGGTTGTTAAAGCAGCGCTGCAGGGTTTCACTGATCTGTCTGAGGGTCTCGCGGTCACACCTCCAGCTGTATGGACACTAGTGCTGCCAGAGGTTTCCAGCCTGCCTAGGTTAGTCTCAGCTATCGTCACTGAAGATGAGTGGTATATTCATCTGTGTGATTGAAACACAAAAGGTTCTGTATTTACTCTGGTCAGTATAAGATGTTTGACAAGCTCCCCTTCATACCATTTGTATTTTCATGCCCAGCTCTCTCTCACACACACACACACCTTTCCAGCGCAGGCACGCTCACCACCAATTGCTTTTAGAGTTCAACAAACTAACAAAAACATGTAAGACTGATTTAGAGCAGAGCCTGTTTTTAAGCCTTTAAAATGTAGTCACAGTGTCCCCATTGACAGCAGCGAGCAGCTCCCATGTGCAGTGTCCCCATGGAAGTGCAGACACCTGTCACCCGTCTCCAGATCACTGTTGTGCTGAAGGAAGCCCAGAACCAGAAGGGTTCTCAGGCGGGTTCTACGTCTACTTTGGCTTCTACCTGGATTTATGGATTCAGAGTCCAGATGAGACTGTTTCCTGCTTTTCTTTGTCATATACAGGTTTCAAGTAAATACTTTTATGTATTTGAGCCTTATATGTTATTTTCCATGAAGTAGTGGTGGATGTATGTTAGACTAGACTGACTCTAAACTGACTGGGGAACAGTCCCTGTCTGAGTGTCGAGTGAAGCAGCTGTCACAAGTGGACTCGGAGGCGTCCGTCTCTCAGTCTGAGTCTTGTTACGTAACTGCAGAGGTTCAGGACAGTCGAATCATTCACCCGTCTGCCTCCTGAAGAAAACGGATGAGACTCCGACTGACTCATGAAGATGTGAGGCTGGTGTCTGTGGACCCACGGTGATGCTGAGTGCAGACATGGCCCTCTGTTCCTGTGCTCATTCTTTTGGCTTTCTAGGCCTTCACAGAGTTTTCATGGGACCTTAAGAGAAGAATAAGAAGCTGTTTGTTGGTGAAATGCACCTTGGGAGTTGTAGTTTACTCCTCTTCTTCTGTGTTTTTCTTCACAGGCTTCTTATACGAGACTTGTTCGAACACAGTTTATTCGTCTTTTGTGTTTGTGATAGTTAATTGGACCAGAATGATCATAAACACAGTCAAAATTAAGTAAAATAAAATAAAATAGGATCAGTTCTAGAGTAAAGTAGGCTATGCAGCATACCTGGTCATGTTCCTCAAAATGTTAACGCCCTCCACCTGCCAGTCCGTGTTCAGGGCAAACATTTTTTAAAAAGCCTGCACATTTCAGCCCCCTACCAGCAGCTTCCTAATTAGCCATGCTCTTCCCTTTGTGTTTTTCAGAAGTACAGGCACCACGATGAGGACTCGTCCCCCCAGGACCAGAGCTCCCCCCAGCTGACAGAGGAGGCTGGGGGGCCAGAGCTGGTCCAGGTAGCAGAGAGGAACCTTTCCCAGATTGAGAATGTGCACGGATACGTCACCCATGCTCACATCTCGCCCATGAAGGTAGGATATGGGTTCACTTTCATTTATTATCTGTCTCTTCTGCTGTCTCTCTCTCTCTCCCTTTTCTGTCCAGGTTCCTTTGTCACTAGTGGAAGACTTTACTGGCCTCTGTTTCCAGAGCAGCACAAACACACAAACAGTCCACGTGTGTCTTCTGAAAGTTGCATCTTTATTCAGAAACCCAGCAGTTACACACATCAGTTTCTGTACTTGAGACTGCAGCATATGTAATACACATGTAGAACCACTACGGCTAAGTTAGTCACCAATTACAAGCTAATGGCTAATGTTATACGAAAACAAGAATGGCAGAGAACTCGGCCCAGAGTCTGGGTCTGAACGACGCTCAGGCATATGCGGCTAAATCTCTGCTGGTTTCTCCCCTGCCATCGTATCCTCGTAGTCAGTGGTTTTACTGGGAGTAGCAGGGTGGTGGGCAGTGCGCTCATTTACAAACATTTGAATATTCATGAATCCTTGAATTCAAAATGAGGGGCAAAGACCAAAGGTCCTTTTAGGATGTTTACTGAACTTTTTTGGAGGAAAAAACATGTTAGACTAAAGAGTTTCTGTAGCAGAGTATTTTAATATGCCATAAAATGTCTCTGGAGGGGTCATTACAATGCTGGGCTCATTCATCCTACCAGAGAGTCTCACTTGTGAAAAGCTAAAGAACCACTGTGTTAGTTTTATGCTAATTTCTGGATATCAGTGGTAGCCTCCTGTATATCTTATTTAATCACAGTTAGATAGTAAACAAGATCCCATGGGAAAAAAACCCCTCTAAAGTCACATCAGTTTGTAAATTTAAACAGGACTGAAGAATCAGATCAAATTCTGACATAGGCTGTGGCTCTGCAAGTTCCAGCCTTTGAAAAATTGATGAATTTTAGCTTTAACTCTGCTCATGTCTACACTTGAACATTTCTTTTTGTGAGCAAGCTCAGCTACACAACAGCACCAGTATGTTTTGTACCCGGAAACCCAGACCTGTAAAAACTTGTTAAACCTTCTAGTAACCACGGCATTATGTGTGATTGCATGATAGTTTCAAAGTGGAGAATGTGTTCCTTAGAGGCCAGTAAAGTTGGACCTTTATCTGTTTTTCCCAGTGTTTATCTTTGTGCTCTGTCTTCATGTACAGTGTATTTGCCATTGAATATATTTCTGTCAGCATCATACATTCACACAGTTCAGCGTCACAGTTCAGGGAGGACGAGGGGTGTTACCTACATGTGTGTCATTAAAACAAGCCCATACGCACCTGTACCTCTTGCTACTCAGATTCATCCAGTCAGGTTTCACTTCGACCCTCCAGTGTCACAGTCACGGCAGGTAAACCCCAGACGAGCTTGTTTCCCGCTCAGCTTATGTAGCTCATTGAAGCCAAGTCCAAATTTCAACCTGCACAGGCCAAAGGTGGCAGTTCCTCCATCAGCTTCAGTTTTATGTAACGAAGACAACAGTCACAGCAGCTTAAAGCTCAATAATGCCACATTTTCAGTGAATGACTTTGGTCGAGACTGCCCTCTTGTAAAAACATGACTCTGTTGCTTGTTAGAAAACACTGGACTTTCCCATGTGTAAGTGAAGATCAGTGCCAGTGCGAGTTTTTTTTTTTTATCCATGACCGCTCCACAGCCGTAACCTTGTTTATTACTGTAACTGTGATGGGACAGGAGATTTTAGTCCAATCCATCATAATATTTTTTCATTTTTAGTTTGATTAAACTTAATGAGATCATGGCATTTCCATAATTATAACCATGTGTTTATCACTGTTTACTTTAGTAAACCTGCTGGTGGGACGCATGTTGTGGTTAACGTTGGCAGAGTTGTTGCCCTTACTCCTGTCAGTGTGGGAGCGTCATTTCAGGAGATGCTCCTCCATCTCAGGAGGGCTGCACTAGATGCTGGGGGCAGGACCACCTAACGGGTGGTCCAGCTTACAGGACCTGTTCCTCTGGTCACCTCCTGGCCTTTTCTGTAGCGCCACCCTCAGGACAATCTTCACATTTTTAGCTGCACTGCTGTTCAGACACTTATTTGTTCAGACTGTGGCTGTATTCAGCTTCTAATGACCACTACAACTGTGTCCTTGATTAATCAATCATCAGATAGTTTCCATTAATAATTCAATTGATTAAAAGCAAACTAACTGACAGAACCGTGTAAACGATGAGGATTTGATGCTATAAAAGGGGTGTGTTCTGGATGATTGACAGCTCTGATATCATGACTCCACCTCCAGTCGCTACACACAGAAGCCGGTTTCACACTGTGTTATAAAAGTGACTTAGCTGCCCCCGTATTTACAGTAGTTTGACTTCACTTTTTCATAAAGGCAGGAAGTGGTGACGTTGCCTGTTGATCTACACAGGCTGTGGTTTCAACCCACCCACAGATTTAGACCAGACTGTGTCAGGGGGCCAATACTATCACATCATGTTTGGCACTCTACTGATGGTATAATAAAAAAAAGGGTGGGAAAAACATTTATAGATATGTTTGAAAATTTTAACTTGCTCTTGATAAATTAACAACTTTATGTGACACAAAAACAAGTTGAAGTGGCAAAAAGACTAAATGTAATTAAAGCATGACTGTGGTTCAAGTAAGTGAAGTTAAAGAGCAAAGCTGTTAAAACAAAATGAAATACAGAGGTAAAACAACATGTGACCTGCAGAGGTAAGGTCACAGAGCAGATTTTCTAAAGGAAGTCACTGGCTGATTCTATTAAGACCAGCACAGGTTCGCACTGGTAGTGATGTATGTGTTCAGAACTAAATCTGTGCTTCTGCAGCCTCCAGTGTTACATTAGTTCCAGTTGATTTGTGAGGTGGTGTGTGTCACTGAAGCACAACAACAAAGCAAAAATCACTCCCTGTAACATCTCTGTGCTCTGAGTTGATTAATCCAATCTGCCGATTAGCTGAGATCCGATGTTTCACGCTAATGCGGTCATGGTAGCAGTACACAATCATATTATCTCTGGAGAAACAGCTGATGTACTGAGACATGGTCCTGCTGCTCAGTGGAGCTCTGCTGCCACCGTGTGGGGTCGGGGAAGATGCACCGCTGACGGACGGAGAGGCACCGACACAGCTGCGTCTCTACGTGTCTCACTCAGTGGTGATAGCAAGACTGAAAAACCATAGAGTACAAATACTCTGGTACAAGTAAAAGGCCTGTATTCAAAAGTATCAGCATCCAAATACACTTGAAGTAGCAACAGTAACACTAGTGATTCTGCAGAATGGCCCATTTCACATTAATGTATATTGTCGGCAAACGTGTAAAAACGGGTCCCGGAAAGAACCAACAGGCCATAAGAGCAGAACTGGCCTCTGATGATCTGGCATCAGAAATAACTTTACAAGAAGAGCTGCAGGAGACTATTGAACAAATTGTCTCTTTTCAGTTAGAATTCCCACAGGAACAGCAAGAATGTTTACAAGAAACAGCAAGAGGAGCTGGAGAGAAATAATTAAAATGCTATGGCAAAATGCATAAAGTTAGAAAGTTAAGATATTTAGTAAGTAAGGATAATCATAAGATGATTTATATGTGTGTTTGAAATAATGTGTAAGAATAAAATCAGAAGGATTTTATTGAAAAAGGTACATTTAGAAGTCTAAAGTACATTCAGAATCTAAGTCATAAAGAGTGAAAATGCTGAATCATGGAGAAAAGAGAAGTAAGACACATCCATACAAAAGAGGAAGTGCAGGTTGTGTGTGTGCGTGCATGTGTGTGTGTGTGTGACAGAGAAAGGCAAAAGAGACACAGTTTAAGAAAAGTACAAAAATGATGGTTTCATGCATAAAGTAAAGATTTGATTGATAATGTTTGATCAAGTGTTGCAGTCAAAATATACGATTGGATTTTAAAGGCTGATGCATTACTGTACAGTTTTGAGGCATTTACTTGAGTATTTCCAGGTCCTGCTGCTTCATACTGTGACTCTGTGCCAGAGACAAACCGTGTACTTTTTACTTCACTACATGTACCTGATAACTTCAGTTCCTTTCCAGAATCAGATGAATAAAACCCAGTAGAACCATCAGACTCTATTGATCCGGGTAGGAAATCCACCAGCTACCCAGCAGGATGTAAAGTACTTCACAGTACAAGTATAGAAAGTAGTTTACCATCAGCTCCACCGTTACCAGCTGCAGCACTGGCTCAGTAGTTCTGCTGCTTCACCACCAGCTGATCCATCTCTGTCCTCCACGTCTGTCTCTGTCTTTGTCAGCTTTTCTCACTCTCTGCTCCTCTTTCTCTGTCATTGACCCCAGATTCACCTTTATGCTGATGTTTTAGTCATTTATTTATCTAGAAGTCATCCCAGCTGTCTGGCCTTTAGCCTGCATTGATACCTGCAGTGTATACTGTATATTATACCTGATCAGCTGCTGCAGATTAATCAGTTGCTATAACCAATGTTTTGCCACTTTGTCTAGTTAAGCTGTGTATAACTCCGCTTTTTAAAAGTTGTGATTATGTAATTTGAACATTGAGTAGATTAACCACACAGAGTTTGTTAATGGAGTTTTATTTAGGGAAGATAAATTACAGTATTGGCTAAAAAAAATCTTAGCTGTTTTTGTTTAAACTGTTCATTTGGCATTTACAGTTTTTTTCTCAAACGACAGGCTCATTTGACTGGCCTTTGTGGTGGTTTTTGTAAGTGTCAGAGTTCCCTCTGACTCTAGTAGTGGTTGTGTACCTTCAGCCTTTCACAGTTTTCCCATCAGTTCTGAGAAAGTACACAAGACTTCTCACTGTTTAGAGATGGCTATTGTTGATCTTTAGCAACATCAGTCTCCACAACAACTGGGGAAGCTTCTTCCTGCCCCTCCTCTGCTCTGTCCTTCATTCCTTCTGTCTTTCTCCCCTCTGTTCAACTGCCTTTCTCCTCCTCCTCCGCTGTACTGTGGCCTCGCTGAGGCGCCGTCTTTCCTCCCCCCCACCTTCCTCCCCCGTCTTTCCTCCTGTAGGTAGCATCTCTGGAGTGCATCTTTGACGGTTCTTCAATGTTAGGACAACATCACCCGGAGCTCCCCTCCCCTACGCCCTCCACCCTCTACCCCCACGGAGAGGACAGCCCCCTCCCCTCCTGCTCCTCCAACCCCTACCCCCCGATCCAGGTAACCCCTCCACGCTGCTGTGCTGCTGTCATTCCAGCACTGCTGGACAGTCATATTCTTCACATTTCCATCATGTTCCCATCCATTTTAAAAGAGAGAGGTTCACCTTTCCATGCACCTGCTACACCGACATTCATTTATTTTAAACAGTCCCACTGAGGTTAGCAGCCTCTTCTGTGAGGAGGCCTGGCCAAGATGGCAGCAACAATTTCAGACGGACAGTCTGACATGAAACAGACATGTACAACATTAGCAAGAACAGAGTTGTTCACAGAGCAGCTGTCAGTGTTGAGTAGCTAGAACGAAGACGAGTAGAAGCCTGAATTGACAGTACAGTTCACAGAGGCCTTGAATCGAAACTGACACCAAGTTCATTAATTGAAGACCCCTGTGCTAACTATTCCAAGTGGCTGCAGCAGAAAATGTGGACGCTTCCTTTTTCATCTGTTTCCGGATTCTGGGACAGAGCACGTGTGTCCTGTGATGCACGATTGAAAGATGAGCTCTGAGAAATGAGGCTACAAAGATATTATATTACATCGAATCCCAAGGAAAACCCCTGTTTTACATAGAGACAGATGACGGGACGCCCCAAAGCGGAGAGTCCCAGTGAGGTGCTGGGCCACCACATGCCACCAGAACAGCTGCAGTGTACCTCGACTCTCCAAGTCTCTGACCCCTTCTGGAGGGATGAGCACTGTTCTTCCAACAGATGGTCACTCGTGGTGTTTTGATGATGGTGGTGGAGATGCTGTGTAACACGTCGCTCCAACACCTCCCATAGCTGTTCAACTGGGCTGGGACCTGGTGACTGGAAAGGCCACAGCGTCTGGTTCACATTGTGGTCATCCTCATCAGACCAGTCAGGGACCACTCATGGGGGGGGCGGCTCATCATTGAGCTCCTTCCAGACAGCCGCCTTGTCGGCAGGAGTCAGCTTGGTCCATGGCTTGTCTGCTGTCCGATCATAGTCTTGGGCATCTGTGACTTCCACGTACTCGTGGAATCGTAGGATTTTTCTTGCCTGTAATTCTGCAACTGTGGGTCTCTGACTCAGCTTCCTGGTCAGCCGTCGCTTGATCTCTCTAACCTCAGCTTGTCTGTCAGCCTGATTTTTGGGCTGAAGGATGACCTGGAGACCGCCTCCAGGTCAGAACTAGTGTGTGTTGATGTGCAGTGGCTAAGGAGACGAGTGGACCCAGACCATGCAGCAAACTGCCCCCAGAGCACAACAGAGCTGTATTAAAACAATTAAACTTATGGATGGTTTGTGAGACATACAGGCTAATCGTGATTTTTAGCCGAGCTACATGCATAGCTTTAGTGAAATGTCTCAGCAGCTGTTGGCTAGGTTGTGATGAAATGTTGTTCAGATGTTCCTGGTCCCCTCGAGAGGAGCTGTAAAACCTGTGGTGACCATCTGATCTTCCATTAAGTGCCATCATCGGCTCAACGTTTGAATTTCTCAGTTATACTTGTGTTTAATGATAATTAGCAAATGCCAGCAGGCTGCACCGAGATGGTATGTTAGCATGCCCACTGTAGCATTTAGCCCACAATGAGCTGCACTAGCCGGCGAGCGAGAGATGAGCCGTGCGTGACGTCCGACACAGACGTCGCCAAAGAGCAGAAAGTCTTCAGAAGAAAACGGGCTATGAATAAATCACATGCATAAATGGCAAAATGTGCACAATTCATTGATTTATACTATGCTTCAGTTGAAATCTAACAGCCTGATCATCATCATCATCATCATCAGTGTCATCATCATCACGTTGACTGCCAGGCTACAGAGCACGACAGTAGCGACATAGAAGTAACTGTAGCTGTGATGACTCTGAGCAGGCTCAGAGATGCCTGTGAAATGACTGTGTTTCTCAGGTAGAGCAGCTCTGGGCCGTACGGTGACTTGGTCTACATGGCATTTGTATTTCACATGAGACTACACGCAGAGCGGCTGAGCGACTGTCTCGTCACCCACTCCGGCGGCGAGGTTTCTGCTCACAGTAACAGTCCCAGGTGGAGAATCTCCTCATCAGGTCTCCATTGTTTCCCCACACGTCTGATCTGCAGCAGCCGCTGGTCCTTGGCCTGACGTCAGCAGGCAGCTATCTCTAACACCTCCGCCGCGATAACGCAATGCATGGATCCTCACTTCCTACAAAGACTGAAGACTGGGAGGACGTACTGTACACTCCTTTTTCTATTATTCTTTTCATTTTTCATCTCTCTTCCTCCGCCTTTCGCCCGCTCAGCAGCACCATGGCAACACGGGAGATGAATGCTGACAAAGAAAATCCTGATGGCAGGGAGATGGGGGTTGAACCTGGAGAAAGGGCCAAGGACAGATTCAGTGACGCTTTCTGTAACGGGGTGGAGGGGTTGTGTTTGAAGAACAGCCGGCCTCTTGTACGTCCCCAGCAGAGATTTACTGCAGCTCTGATGTATATTTAGCACCAACACAAAAGACTGTGTAAGGCCACGAAATTGCTTGTCACTAATGCATCTTCTCCATGGTTTCATCTCTGCTACAGTTCATTCCCAGCTGCAGCAAAGGATGCTGGGAGGACAGGCTGGCTCTATTTATAGCAGCAGGATTCCAGTCAGCCATGGGATTTCAGGAAAATCATGGAATATTGGGGGGTATATTCCAGACAGGGCAAGTCATGTTGTTTCTCTTTGAATGAACAAACAATGTGTTAATAAGGATAGAAATGAAACATATATATAGGAATATAAAACATAAGCTGATGCAGGATGTGGCTGTCAAAAAACCTGATGAAATAATAGACAAAACAGGTCAAAACTATGTTTGGGGCAGTGCATTGAGGCCCATATGATGTAAAACAGTGCCTTTATGTACTTTATTAAAATAGGTGGTTAGAAAACATCCGACAAACAAAAAAGAAAAAAATGTAAAATTTTGTATCACTTGTCTAATTTAGTATATTTATTTATTATTTACTTGAGAACATTTTTGTATATTAAATTTTAATTAAAAAAGCAGTTCTTTTTTCGTTATGTCGTCATGCATTGTTTTTTTTCTGCTGAGTGTTTTTACCCGAGCAGTCGGTCCCTGCTCGCTAACTGTAAACTCTGCACTGTCCTCCTGACTATACTCTGTCAGCCGTGACAGTCAGTGCACACATCACCGTGCTGCCCGTCACAGCCGTGATAACTCAGCAGTTTCCCTCCGCAAGTGTCCCTGCTGACTCGTGTTTGGGAAGGGACTCGCAAGTCTGAGGAAGTAGGACAGAGGTCAGCTGGACCAAACCCACCCTGGGCTGAAAACCAGGAGGAGGAGGAGGAAGGAGCCCTGGGAGGCTTCCAGACTGCAGAGATAACTTCCTCACTGCCTGTACTCTCTTTAAACACACACTCGGGTGTCTCCGTCCTCTCGTCAGCCCTGCAGTCTGCTGTTGCTGCCTGCCTCAGACAGACGGAGGCTGGTCGACCGGCTGCTCTCTCTCTGCTTACCGGCGACACTCTCTCCCCCCGCCAGGTTAATCTGCCCCCCGAGGCTCCTCTCTCTCTCTCTCGCTCTCTCTATAATGCCACGCTTTGATATATTGCATTTTTTTGTATAGTATTGATGATTTCTGTAATTGTGACGCGATAGTGGTGGTATTAAGAGGTGAATTACGTCTGCCACTGCTGCTCATAGCTGACAGGAGGAGGACGAGCTCGGTGTGTCTCAGCTCCTTTTTGGGAAGCTGCGTCTGCTCACCTCCATCAGCTCCTCTGCAGCCTACTTGTTTGTGTCTGTGAGGAGGAGGGGGGCACACGAGGTCTAGTGAAGCCCCCTCCCATCGTCTGTTCTCCAGCCAGCACCACCTCCGCTGCCCTGCAGCAGGAGCGAGAGAGGAGGCACCGAGGAGGTGACACACTGCCTCCACCTTCACCACCAAGAGCAGCAGCAGCAGCAACAGCAAGCAGCATGCTCAACTCTGTGTGGTACGCCAAAAAGATGGGTCGCCGCATCATGGGCACCCTGAGGAGAACCAAGCGGCTCCACCGGCACCTACTGGTAGGTCACCCCCTCTCCACCCCACCCACCCATAAGAAAATAAATCCTCCTGAGTCTGAGGAGGGAGGGGGAGGTGCTGCACAGTGTAGCCTGAGCCATTTTCTACAACGTGCGTGTACATACATTATGATCATGCACTACTCCGACTGGTATGTGTGTGTTGTTGATATGCATCGATCCGTCCGTCTGTGGTGGATGTGGCGCTGCTGGATGAGGCAGATGTGGAAAAGTTGCAACAGGATGCTGCTGCTGCTGCTGCTGCTGCGTCATGTGCCGGATCAGGATTCATGCAGAAACCTTCACATCTGGTTACGTTCCTCACTGCAGGTCTAGAAACACCCTCATCCACAGCCCCATTCGGTGCCATCATATGAATGTCTGAAAACATGAGGACGATGTGCGTTTGTGTGTGTGGCGCTGGAGATCTGAGGTGATTTGTTGATAAGGCTGCAGCAGCAGCTGTGAGCAGGTTATGTTGGAGCAAAATGCGTCGGCGCTTGTCATGTAAATGTTGAAGAAGAGGTACACACACACCTCACACACAGGGACACAAACAGCTGCTGAATGTTCCAGAGCAGTTGGCTGCTGTGGCTCGTATCAGATCAGGACGAGGAGCTGGAATCTCCCTCATCGCAGACCACGCAGGCGTTTGTGTTGATATCAGGTTTGGTCTGGGGTCCTGTTACACCTGTGTGGCTTTTCACATGTGTCTTCGTGACCAGGCAGCATGTAGATGTGAAGAGATCTACCTGCAATAAACAGCAGCATCATGTTCTGGGCAGATGTGAGGAACCGCTGCAGTAGCACATGCCTTTCCTGGCGTTGCCTAGCAACCTACAGGCTGACACGCAGCACTGGCCCACTGTCTCTCCATTTACGGCTTTAAATGCCTGGTAATGCACATGGACACGCACCCCCATCCCAGAATGTAGGTGTGCACTGAGGATGAGCTAAAGCTGAGACAGGCAGCATT